ACTCCAGGACATTGCTCTAGGCAAAGATTTTATGGCTAAGACCTCAAAAGCATAGGGGGAAAAAAAGCAAATAGGCAAATGAGACTATATTAAACTTAAAAGCTTCAGCACAGCAAGGAAACATTCAACAGAGTGAAGAGACAAACTTTTAAATTGGAGAAATATTTGCCAACTATTTATCTGGCAAGGGACTAATATTCAGAATATACAAGAACTCAACAATTCAGCAGAAACAAACAAACAAATAATCCCACTAAAAGTGGGCAAAGGACCTGAATAGGCATTCTCAAAAAGACATACAAATGGCCAACAGGTATATGAAAATATGCTCAACATCAGGAAAATGCAAATCAAACCACAGTGAGGCTAGGAAGTGGCTCACTGTGCGAGCCACTGTGTGGCTCACTGTGTAATCCTAGCACTTTGGAAGGCTGAGGGAGGATCACTTGAGGCCAGGAGTTCAATATACTAAATACTCTGATTTGATTATTAACACTCTTTGCATGTTGTACAATCACATGTACCCCATAAATACATACAAATATATATATATAATTTAAAAGTTTGTTCCCATTTCATTAATATACGCTTTCTTATTTCTTCTTTCTACTTTCTTAGTTTACTCTTCCCTTTTCTAATATTTAAATTTATTGTCTAGTTCCTTAATTTTCAACCTCTGTTTTATAATGTATTCATTGAAGATTATGTCATACAAATGATCTTCAACAAGGTCCTAAGACCACTCAGTAGGTAAAAGATAGTTTCTTTAACAAATGATGCTGGGGACAACACCACATGCAAAAGAATTAAGTGGAACCTTACTTTATACCATATACAGAATTACCTCAAAGTGGGGTCAAAGAACTAAATGTAAGTCCTGAAACTATAAACTCCTAGAGAAAAATATAGGAGAAAAGCTCTATAACATTGGATTTGGCAATGATTTCTTGCAGATGACACCAAAAGCACAGTCAGCAAAGCAAAATTGATAAATGGAATTACATCAAACTTGAAGACTTCTGTGCATCAAAGGACACAATTAACAGAATTAAAAGGCAACCTATGGAATGGGAGAAAATATTTGCAAATCATATATTGATAAGGAGTTAATATCCAAATATATAAAGGAATCCTACAACTCAACAGTTAAAAAAAAAAAACACTCAAATGCTTAATAAAAATGACAAAGGCATTATCCAAAAATTATATACAAATGGCCAACAGGTATATGAAAGATGCTCAACATCATTACAGAAGTGCATATCAAACCTCATATCCATGAGATGGCTACTCTCAAAAATGGAAAATAACAAGTGTTGGTGAGGATGTGGGATACTGGACCCTTGTGTCCTGTTGGTGGAATGTAAAACAGTGCAACATATGGAAAACAATATGGAGGTTCCCAAAAAGTTAAAAATAGAATTACCATATGATCTAGCAATTTTACTTTGAGTATATGACCAAAAGAATTGAAAGCAACAGCTGAAACAGATACTCTCACACCTATGTTACACCAGCAGATTCACATAGCTAAGAAGTGGAAGAAACCCAAATGTCCATTGACAGATGAGTGAATAAACAGAATGGTGGTGTATAGATACAATAAATATTATTCAGCTTAAAAAGAAAAGAATCCCGGCTGGTGCGGTGGCTCACGCTGTATCCTAGCACTCTGGAGGCCGAGGCAGGCGCATTGCTCAAGGTTAGGAGTTTGAAACCAGCCTGAGCAGGAGTGAGACCCTGTCTCTACTATAAATAGAAAGAATTAATTGGCCAACTAATATATAAGAAAAATCAGCCGGCATGGTGTGCATGCCGTAGTCCCAGCTACTCCAGGGCTGAGGCAGGATTGCTTGAGCCCAGGAGTTTGAGGTTGCTGTGAGCTAGGTGACGCCACGACACTCTAGCCTGGGCAACAAGCAAGACTGTCAAAAAAAAAAGAAGGAAGGAAGGAGAAGGAAGGAAGGAAGGAAGGAAGGAAGGAGGAAGAGGAAGGAAGAGAGGAAGGAAGAAGGAGAGGAAGGAAGGAGAGAAGGAATCCTGTCACAGCTACAACATGGAAACATGGATAAAAATTGGAGGACATTATACTAAGTGAAATTAACGCAGTACAAAAGAGAAATGCTATATGATTCCAGAATATGAATATCTAAAGTAATCACATTCAGAGAAACACAAAGTAGAATGTGATTACAAAGGCTGTGATGAGGGAGAAAATGGGAGTGATTTAACGTGTATAGAGTTTCAGTTTGCAAGATGGAAAATGTTCTGGAGATTTGGTGCACAACATTGTGAATATGTTCACTACTGACCTGTACATTTAAAATGGTTAAGATGATAAATTTATGTTATGGGTCTTTTAACACAATTAAAAATAATAAAGAGTTTTAAGTAGTGGGAATGAACACAACTGAGACCACAATGTTGGTGTGCTTACCCTATGGATGTTATAATAATAAATGACATATTTTTTAGGTGATGATAAAGAAGTTTGAGGAATTGACAAAATCAGTTATAGGAAGAGCAACAAATTGGAATCTTCACAATTTGCAGTATTTGAAGCAGTGAAATGGTTAAATGATTTAATTGGTACCTGAAATTCTATTCTTCAACTTACTATATATTATACATTGATACTCTACAAGATTGTATACAAACAAAAATATACAATATTTATCATTTTAAAGGCCATTTCTTTCCTTCTTCTTTTTAGTTTTTTTCTTTCAGATTTTTTTTTTTTTTTTTGGTAGAAATGAAGTCTCACCAAAGTCTCACTATGTTGCCCAGGCTGATCTCAAACTACTGATCCCAAGTGATCCTCCCACCTCAGCCTCTCAAAGTGCTGGATTATAAGAGTAAACCAAATAATGTCATTTTAAATTCATTTTGTGCTTAGGCCTAACTTTAAATACAATTATTCCTCTCTCCATCAACTGTTAAGATAGAATTCCACCTTATCTTTACCCCTTCTTCCCTAAAGGAGTTTTCATGTAATTTTTGATTTTTGGTGGAACATTTTATTTCTGGGCATTAATTTTCTAGAGAGAAATGCCAGTGTTGTTTTATTAAAGTAACAATAATACTGTTAAAGTGCCTACAATTTGGAAGTGGAAATATATGTTACTATTCAGATGCTCATTGGCTTGACTTTTGGCATGCCTTTGGTGGGATGTAGATGATAATCTTTGCTCAGGTAAAACAAAATATGAATAACTGCAAACAAGTAATGTTAAATACTCATTTTAAATAATACATATCATAATCATACCAGATAAAGAGTATGAGACATGAGAGCAATACTAAGAGACTTGGAAATAATATTCATCTGATGGTGCACAAGCCATAAACTTGTGAGAAGGAAGCACTACTTTGCTATTGTTGTCATCAAGGGAGAAAAGTACAAACATACGTCTAATATATCCCAGGATTATCATTATACAAAACATAATTATAAAGACAGGAAGGAAGAACACACAGAGGGAAGACCATGTGGAAGAAAGAGGGAGGAGACGGTCATCTACAATCAAGAGAGAGTCTCAGAAGAAATCAACCCTGCTGACACCTTTATCTGGATTTAAGCCTCCACAATTGGGAAAAATAATTTCAGTTGTTTCAGCCAAAAAAAAAAAAAATGACTGGAAAAAAATGGAGAAAAGGAAATAACTGCTGAGTAGATTAATAGATTGTTTTTATTTTAGTGTAAAATTAAGAGTTTAATTAGAATAAACATTATTGGCGGACGCAGTGGCTCACACCTGTAATCTTAGCTGCAGTGGCATGAACATAGCTCACTGCACCCTCTCCTGGGCTTTTCCTGTGAGCACATTTGGGACAATAGAAAAAAAAGAAAAAAAAACTCCTGGGCTCCAGTGATCCTCCTGCCTCAGAGTCCTGAGAAGCTGAGACTACAGCCACCAGCCACACACCTAATTTTTCTATTGTTTGTAGATGCAAGGTCTCACTCTTGCTCAGGCTGGTCTCAAACTCCTGGCCTTAAAGGATCCTCCTGCCTCAGCCTCCCAAAGTGCTAGGATTAGAAGTATGAGCTACCATGCCCAGCCTACGATGCTTTTCTTATTACATTTCAACCTCACCCCACCCTGCCAAAGTTAGAGTTGACTGCTTTTTTCTCTAACACCCTGTATCTTTGTTCTTCCCCTTATATGCTCTATTTACACTTGTGCTCTTCCAAGACAGGCACTGTCTGACTCCTCTGTCCCTGGGGTACAGAGGGACGAATTCAGATTTGACAGTACAAATACAGTATGTGAGGTATACCATGGTACAGGAAAGAGAGGGATGTGGGATTGTAAAGGAGGGATTAGGGAGGGTTCCCAGGAGGCAGTGAATTCTTAGCTGAACAAGCAGGATTAGCCAGGTGGGTGATACATGTGTGTGTATGTGCTTTTAGCAAAATCGGGCTAATGAGGGAGGGACTGTTTTTGTTTTATCTATAACAGTTTTCTTGAAATGTAATTCATATGCCATACTATTCACTCATTTAGAGTGTATATTTCAATTGTGCAACTATCACCACAATTTTAGAACATTTTTGTCACCCCAAAAGAAATCTCATACCCTTTAGCAGTTATTCCCATTTCTCCCCCAATCTCCTACCACCACCAGGCCTGGACAACCACTGATCTACTTTCTCTCTTTCTAGATTTGCCTATTTTGGGTATTTCATATATACGGAATCATACAGTATGTGGTCTTCTGGGAATGGCTTTTTCCACTTAGGTTAATGTTTGCAAGGTTTATCCATGTTACAGCATGTATCAGGACTCCATTCCCTTTTATTGCTGAATGAGTATTCCATTGTACAAATATACCACATTTTCTTTGTCCATGCATCAGATGATGACCATTTGGGTTAAGACTAAGGTTTAATGTAACTTATTGATAAATTGATACTAACAAAAGATAACAAACCAGGGACAAGCAACTGGCTGAGGGGATGAGTGACATCGGACGCGAGACCCCGGGCCTACCGTGGGAGCGTGAGGGAGGCTGCGAAATCCGTTTCTAGTCGTCTCTGATTCCGCGGAGCAGATACCATGAGCAAAGCTCACACTCCCGAGTTGAAAAAATTTATGGACAAGAAGTTGTCATCGAAATTAAATGGTGGCAGACATATCCAAGGAATATTACGGGGATCTGATCCCTTTATGAATCTTGTGATAGATGAATGTGTGGAGATGGCAACTAGTGGGCAACAGAACAATATCGGAACGGTGGTAATACGAGGAAATAGTATCATCATGTTAGAAGCCTTGGAACGAGTATAAATAATGGCTGTTGAGCAGAGAAATCCATGTCCCCTCCGCAAAGGGCCTGTTTTACTATGATGTCAAAATCAGGTCATGTACATTTTCATATTAAATTTTTTGTTAAATAAACTTTTGTAATAATCAAAAAAAAAAAAAAAAGATAGCAAACCAAGTTACCTGTGTAGTATATTCTGAGAAGTTACTGACTCTATGCCATTATTTTTGGTATTAATAGAAGATAGTTACAAAGTAAGTAGAAACTGTATTACTTAAATTAAATAATGTAGAATAATCTGAAGAGAACAGATGGAAAACATGCTGAATATGTGAAAAGTAGTCATCCTAGCCAAAACTACAGTCCAGTTCTTTAAGCTCCAGTGTTAGGCTTTAGCAATGCCATGCCAAACCATATTGAAGCCTGAGACAAAAATAAACAAAAATATGCACCCTTATATACATAGTTTCATGTATGTTTAGTGGTCTTTTTTTTCATAATTAGATTTTGAAAATATTAATGAGTTTGTTTCTATTAAAATCAGAGAAGTAAAGTTATATTAAATTCCAGTTTGGTTGTTAGTAAAATATTTAAAATGAAATAATGCGAGTTTTGAAATGCCTACATTTCAGATTTTCAGTATTTTCAACTACTTTAACATTCTGGGAAATAAATCAACACGCTATACCAGCCTCATAAACTTGGTTAACAAATCCTCTCTATTTCTAGTCTCAGAAACAGCAGAATTATCTGTTCCTACAGAAAGTTTGATAAAACTCACTTGGTGTGTTATTCTGAGTACACTTTTTAAACTACTGGTCTAATTTTTCAATGGCTGTGGTTTTTATTCAGGTTTCCTATCTTGAGTTAATTCTGGTGATTTACATTTTTCTAATTAATTACCCATTTTCATCTAAGCTTTCAAATTTACTGGCATGAAGTCATTCATAATTGCTCACTTAAGATTTTTCATCTCTGCTATACATGTAGTTTTTCCCCCCTTTTCATTCTTAATATTATTTATTTGTGTCTTTACTTTTTTTCATGAAACAATCCTACTAGGGTTTATTTCACTACTTTTTTTTTTCACAGAACCAGCGTTCCATTTGTGGATGCTCTCAAATGTTTGTTTCCTACTCCAGGACATTGCTCTAGGCAAAGATTTTATGGCTAAGACCTCAAAAGCATAGGGGGAAAAAAAGCAAAAATAGACAAATGAGACTATATTAAACTAAAAAGCTTCAGCACAGCAAAGGAAACATTCAACAGAGTGAAGAGACAAACTTTTAAATTGGAGAAAATATTTGCCAACTATTTATCTGGCAAGGGACTAATATTCAGAATATACAAGAAACTCAAACAATTCAGCAGAAAACAAACAAACAAATAATCCCACTAAAAAGTGGGCAAAGGACCTGAATAGGCATTTCTCAAAAGAAGACATACAAATGGCCAACAGGTATATGAAAATATGCTCAACATCAGGAAAATGCAAATCAAAACCACAGTGAGGCTAGGAAGTGGCTCACTGTGCGAGCCACTGTGTGGCTCACTGTGTAATCCTAGCACTTTGGAAGGCTGAGGTGGGAGGATCACTTGAGGCCAGGAGTTCAATATACTAAATACTCTGATTTGATTATTACACACTCTTTGCATGTTGTACAATATCACATGTACCCCATAAATACATACAAATATTATATATAATTTTAAAAGTTTGTTTCCCATTTCATTAATATACGCTTTCTTATTTTCTTCTTTCTACTTTCTTTAGTGTTACTCTTCCCTTTTTCTAATATTTAAAATTTATTGTCTAGTTCCTTAATTTTCAACCTCTGTTTTATAATGTATTCATTGAAGATTATGTCATACAAATGATCTTCAACAAGGGTCCTAAGACCACTCAGTAGGTAAAAGATAGTTTCTTTAACAAATGATGCTGGGGACAACACCACATGCAAAAGAATGAAGTGGAACCCTTACTTTATACCATATACAGAAATTACCTCAAAGTGGGTCAAAGAACTAAATGTAAGTCCTGAAACTATAAAACTCCTAGAGAAAAATATAGGAGAAAAGCTCTATAACATTGGATTTGGCAATGATTTCTTGCAGATGACACCAAAAGCACAGTCAGCAAAAGCAAAAATTGATAAATGGAATTACATCAAACTTGAAGACTTCTGTGCATCAAAGGACACAATTAACAGAATTAAAAGGCAACCTATGGAATGGGAGAAAATATTTGCAAATCATATATTTGATAAGGAGTTAATATCCAAAATATATAAAGGAATCCTACAACTCAACAGTAAAAAAAAAACAAAAAAAAACACTCAAATGCTTAATTAAAAATGGACAAAGGCATTTATCCAAAAATTATATACAAATGGCCAACAGGTATATGAAAAGATGCTCAACATCATTACAGAAGTGCATATCAAAACCTCATATCCATTGAGATGGCTACTCTCAAAAAATGGAAAATAACAAGTGTTGGTGAGGATGTGGAGATACTGGAACCCTTGTGTCCTGTTGGTGGGAATGTAAAACAGTGCAACCACTATGGAAAACAATATGGAGGTTCCCCAAAAAGTTAAAAATAGAATTACCATATGATCTAGCAATTTTACTTCTGAGTATATGACCAAAAGAATTGAAAGCAACAGCTGAAACAGATACTCTCACACCTATGTTTACACCAGCAGCATTCACAATAGCTAAGAAGTGGAAGAAACCCAAATGTCCATTGACAGATGAGTGAATAAACAGAATGTGGTGTATAGATACAATAGAATATTATTCAGCCTTAAAAAGAAAAGAAATCCCGGCTGGGTGCGGTGGCTCACGCCTGTAATCCTAGCACTCTGGGAGGCCGAGGCAGGCGCATTGCTCAAGGTTAGGAGTTTGAAACCAGCCTGAGCAGGAGTGAGACCCTGTCTCTACTATAAATAGAAAGAAATTAATTGGCCAACTAATATATATAGAAAAAATCAGCCGGGCATGGTGGCGCATGCCTGTAGTCCCAGCTACTTGGGAGGCTGAGGCTGTATGATTGCTTGAGCCCAGGAGTTTGAGGTTGCTGTGAGTTAGGCTGATGCCAAGCACTCTAGCCCAGGCAACAGAGTGAGACTCTATCTCAAAAAAAAAAAAAGAAAAAGAAAAAGAAAAGAAATTCCTGAGTATATATAAAATAAAATGATGAGTATAGGCAGACCATAAATGTGACATCCAATTCTAAAATATCAAGTTGGAGAAATAGTTGGAGAAATTAAAGCCCAGGAAACAAAAGTAACTCATCAAAGATAATTTGCTTAGGCAAACAAATTTATTGATTGAACTATTATTGTGTATCAGGACCTGAGGTAGAGTGACCAACTGTCCCAGTTTGCCTAGAACTGAGGGGTTCCAGAAATAAGAGATTTGGGGTGCTAAAATTGGAACAGTCCCAGGAAAAACTAAACAGTTGGTTGCCCTATTGCTAGGCACTGGAGACAAAACAACTTATGAGATATAACTTCTGCTCTCAAGAAGGAAAGACAACTTTCTTAATAAATTGTTACAATATGGTGAATATGAGAAAAGCATCCACAGTGTGAATGAGGCAAGACTTTTGGGATCCTGAAACCTATAGGACAAGAAGGGAGTTAAGCAGATGAAAGCCAGAGTACAAATGGGGCCATTTGGAAAGCATCCAGTTTGAAGGATTAGTACAATAAAAGACAGAGTAGTGAAAAATAATAGCTAAGAATTTACTGAGAATTTAACTGTGTACCAGGCATTATGTTATATATTATCTCCTTTCATCTTCACAACCTCATAAGGTTGGATTTGTCATACGAGTGATGAAGATGCAATTGGAGGGTTTTAGGCAGAAAAGTAATATAATTGTGTGCTTTAAAGGTGAAGGATCACTATGGCAGCATGTAAAAGGCTTTTTAAAAATCTAATACATATACCCTATTGTGAAATACTTGTAACTTAACATCATCTCCCAAGCCTAGTATCATAAAAGGGATTCCAGATTCACAATACAGTTTAAAACCAACTCTTCTATTCTTTTTATTTCCTCTGTTTTTTTTTTTTTTTTTTTTTTTTTTTTTTTTTTTTTTTTTTTCTCTCTTTCTTCTATTCTTCCACTGGCTTTCTACCAATGTACAAAACCCTGTAAGGAAGTTGTCGTTAGGTTTTGTAACAAGAGCTCCCTCTGTTGGCTGTGTAGCAACAAAACAGCAACCATTCGACATGCAGAAACAATAGCTTTGGATCTTTACTTTTTTGTTTTTGTTTTTAAAAAAAACAACCAGAGATTTGTCCCTATTTATATAGTAATTTACACAGTATTCAAATTAATATAAGACCCAATTATTATGTCTTTTAAGTTTAAACCAAAGAAATATTTTCCTACTTGCAGTCACCATTTTTATTGGCACCATTCCATTTCTTCATCAGGGGCCATTTACATTCATTAAACTGGACAGCTATTTGAATTTCATAATAGAATTATACAGACCTTCATTTCCTATTACGCCCATAGTCATACAAATGAACTTTGTTATAACTTACCAATAATAATCACTCATTGGGAATGTCATTTCTATACAGCTCCCAGATTGCCTATATGCCCATGACAGGATGGCTCCCAATTATTCCAAATAAATGCCTGGCAGAGGCTACAGTGAAAGCTCCACCATTTAGGACTTCCCCCTTAGGGCTTTACACAGAATCATTTGCTCATTCAACAAAGATCCACTGGCACGCACTCCAAACTAGCTCTGCGCTTGGGAGACAGATTAAAATATAGACCCTAAACCCAAGAACCCTTTGGTATTGTGAGTGAGATATTTAACATCTGAAGCAATACCTCCAACTTGAAGCAGACTGTGGGGAGTGTAATTACAGTGGTATAACATGTCATAAAAGCAGAAGTTAATAGTAAATATCATTGAGAGAATTCAGGCTGACATCTTGGGGAAGGTACTATTTCACTTGAATGAGACAAAAGTTCCATAATGGCAGGAATTTTTGTGTCTGTTCTGTTCACTATTGTATCCTAAGTTGCTAAAACTATGACAGGCACATAATAAGTGCTTAATTAATAATTATTGAATGAATGAGCAGATTTTTTAAATCAATAAGAATTTT